CCCTGGCCCCAAATATAAGGCCTATGGCTCCGTTACCGGAGCCCCCGGCACGAAGTGGTTAATAATGTTAGGCATGATGGCAAAAAAGATTTTTTTTTGGTGCGCCGCGAGCTGCCGTGGCGTCCCATAGCACATTTTTCTAAGTCACCTGTCCACCTTCTACATGCAGTGCAGCGCGGCACCTAAACCAGTCTCCAGCTCATTAAATATCCCTATTGTGCATTTGCTATTGTTATGTTTGGTGCACCGCAGCGCGCTGATGTCCATTGTGAATTTCGGCCACAGAGTGAGTCCTGTGGAAGTGTGGGATTTAATTTCACGGTCTGAGTTAAGTCGTTTTCCTATCTCCAGATCTGAAAATGATTCAGCCTTCAGCTCAAATAGACCTCCAATTCCAATGAAATGTGGTCAGTGCCCTGTGAGCAGGAGATAGATGTACAACAATTGTATTTCCAAAATGTAAATTTTTAATTTGGACAGAGGTTTGACGACATTAACGACAACACTATTTCAAATAAATTCTCTGTCTGACCTTATAAAATGTATATTCCTGGGAAGTAATGGGGCCAGCTGCCTTTTTAGGGGATACGGCTCTTGATTGACAATGCCTGTCTCAACATTTCATTTTATTTATAAACCTAGACCACGTGTGGTTTTTATTTTCCCCGCGACACCGCGTAATGATACCATCCAAAATATCACTTCCTTAAACAGCATTTATGTATAAAACCACAGTGGTTTAATTTTTTTCCCTGCCCACGGCATTCTTATTTTATTCTGCGCAGTCAATCCACCAAAAAAAATCATCCTCCCCATCTCAGCATTTCTTTATCCCAACCTGGATCATGCCTGATTTTAATGTCTTCCCCGCCCCACCGTGTACTCGTTATTTTTATTCCGCCCCTGCCCATCTCAACATTTCTTTATTCAAACCTGGATCACGTGCGGTTTGAATTTGTTCCTGTTCCACTGCATTAAACATTATTCAGAGAAGTTTTATGTATATTCGGAATGGAAGAAGCCACAAGAAATAGGGCAGACATGATGTACATTTCATGTTGACTTTTATTACAATGGCAGAAAAGTTATGACATTTTGATCATTGCCAAGTAATTTACATATTTAAAAATCCAAAATACATGTATATGAAGGTAAAGTTTAAAGCAATGAACATTCGTTATTATAAAATGTGTGCATGCTTCAGTACAACTTTACGTGCAGCTGCAGATTGTCTTTGATGCAGAGTATTATAGGCCTAATTATCATTAAAACCCAAGTTTTACAGCCATTTGCCATAAACTGCATCCTTCATGGACTTTAGGAATGTGTCAGAGTTGGTTGACATCTGAAACTCTGTGCTGGCCTGCAGCATAGTTTCTCGAAATATTGGATCATGCTTCATTGCTTTCTTGGATACAACTTTTCCACCCTTACAGAGAAGTCTCCCCCCGTGGTAATCATGTGTGGTGAGCTCTTCTTAGCTTATTACCTTAGAAAGTAATTTGAACACAAGCTCCCTCGCACTTGATGACTTGTCGAAGTCATCTAAATAATCAATCTTCGGAAGGGTATGCGTGAAACCAACATTTCCTATCAAAACTGTTTCATCGTCCAACTCAACAAACGTGGCTTTGGACTTCTCCTCTCTCTGAGCACCGATGTGTTCTTTGATGAAGTCTATGTCCTTTTGCTGCTTGTCCAGTTTTTCAATTATTGCAATTAGAAGTTCTCGGGAACTAAGATTGTCAAATCCCAACTTACACTTGGAGAAACTTTGTTGGGGCTCATCCATCTGCGACAAATCACTGAAGTTCATTGCACTGAGAAACTGAGAATCTGAGAAGAGGCCCAGATCCTGATCTGCCAGTTCCAGCAGAAGTGATAC